TCATGAAATCTTATGACAGTGAGGTCCACAGGTTAATTGTGTGTATCATAATAATACCTCTTAGATTGGGCTGTTTTTTAGAGCAAAACTAAATAACTGGAAGAAAAATGTATCAACTATTTATTACAGTATTTTTCTTATTTTTGGAAAATAACCCACAGACCAGAAACATTTGGTGACTGTATTGATTCAGAGTGACAAGCTTTCTAGGATTTTTTTCCTTCTCTGTTGCCTGCCAGTTTCTTTTCTTAATTCTTGTTTTTTCCATAAGGATTTCCCTTTCTACTACTGTTTCCCATAGAAATGCATGACTTAGAGTAAATCATGCTTCCTCAGAGTATGTTCTCTTGGATTTTTTCCCTTCTCTATCTGCAGGATGCAGTCTCCTGCTGCTCTGCAATCCAAAATCTTGCTACTGTTACTGCGGTTTGATAAATCAACTTGACATGTGGTTGGAGAAGCTGAAATGTAGTCTCTGAAGTTTGACTGGCTTTTCAAGTTAACCTTCAAATACACTGAAGCTTTGCCACAGTTTTCAGACTATAGCTTCACACATTTTATTCAGCACATCATCTGCTATTATAGAGAAAACCAAATACTTTTCTGCTAATCATGTACTTTCTTTTTTTAAAATGTTTTGAAAGCTGAATTCTATTATTCCTTGTCAAACCCAGATTCTGCTCTCAGTTTTGGCCCTTTAGGTCCATTTAAATCAATGCAGTTACTCCAATTTAACATTAGCGCTACTGAGGGTTGAATTCTGGCCTCAGACTGTAATCAAGCAAAAAATCCCAGAGAAGTCAGTGGGAGTTCTGCTTGACATAGCTCATAAAGCTCTTGGGAAGGAATATAGCATTCATGGGAGGGAAAGAGAGACTAATCGTTTGGGCTTGAGCTACCTAATGCAGGCAAGCGCTGTGCAAGTCACCTCATGCTCTTGCCTGAGCTGCACCACCAACTGCTGTTCCATCCCTTAGCTATTGACAATGGATCATTCCTAATTTTGCCAAAATTAGGCCATTTACAAGTATTTTGCTACTACTGGGAGAGTAGCCACTCTCTTGGGAGAAACTACAGGTATAGACGTATTCATTTAGTTTCTCTTGCAAGGGTGAACGCTTGTACGCTCTTCTCCCAGCCTGGTCCAGGAGAGGAGTGAATTAGTGGGTCAAAGCCCCCTGCCTGTTCTCCAGACTGGGGATCCCTGGCCTGGGGTGTGACAGGGAGCTTCAGTGGCTGCACTAGTAACCTCCTGGATGGGTCAGGGAGGAGAGTTGAGCAGTTGCTCCTTGCCTGCTACCTGTTTTCCAAACCAAGACATTTCTCTGCTACATATAAACACCTGTTCAAGGCTTCAGTGCCTCCACTACATTACTAATAAGCATTCTGTAGTAAGAATATGGGAGGCAGAAGTTTCACTACTCTTGTTTATGTTTTGTGTCATTGAGGGACAGGATGTTGATTACTGTTTGGCCAGCTTTTTAAAAGTGTGTATTCATTTTGGGTGCCAACTTTTTTGTGCACCCTTAGAGATGCACCTCAGGCTTGAGCGTGCATTTATGACAGCTGGGATTGCTCACCAGGTATCAGATCTGGGTCATGGTTTCTCAAGCTGAGTGCCCAAAACACAGGTAGTTTTTGGAAACATTAACCACAGTGCATAGTATATACATTGTAGGTTCTGATTTATAGATATCAGAAAACCAAATTAGGAAGAGTACTTGAGGCGGGAAAAATAGTGATACTTCACTATAAAAGTGAAAGCTGTAGATTTTACTGATAAACAGACTTCAGTGTGGTTACTTGCAACCAGTTAGCAAGTTGCAGTAGATTTGGCCCTAAAATAAGAGAAGGTTATTGGTAAAAGGATATTTTTGCAGGGATAAGAACTATTGAACAAAGAGCTATTGATTCAATTCAAAAAGAAAAATTAACCTTTGTTGAAACTGAAGAGGACACCCTAGAAACCCAAGTATGCAACTCAGGATCAGCTCCATCCGATTTTATTTGTAAGACTAAATTGTACCCAGCAGGAAAAAGAAAATATGCCAAAAAAGTAACAAAAAAGAAACACTGAGTGGTTTTTCATTAAATTAAGATTCCGTGGGAAAAACCTATTTTTGATCTCTACAAATACACCAAGGCCTGATCTTCCATTTGTATTTATGCTATTTTATGGGTATGTCCCTTTAAAGGCCAGTAAAAGCTAAGCATCTAGATCCCTTGAGCACTGGTAAAAACAAAACAAAACCCTATTTGCAATATTTTAAAAATAAACCCATTGACATGTTTATGTAGTACAAAATCCCATAAATTATTTTCTCTGCCATTGGCTAGTACTTTCTTAGCTAGATTTAAGAGTTTTCCTTATGGGTTTTGGTTTGAGTGATCTTGCACTAAGAGGTGGCAAATTAAAATAAAATCTACAAATCTGCTGCTTGTCCCCACTTCAGATGAATGGTCCATGGGGCTGAAATATTTGTGTAATTGAAATAATGCATCTTTGAAATTCCTTATTAGGAAAGTAACACACACAGAATTTTTAAGCAATTAAAAATGTCTCTGGGTTACAATTCTTTCAATTACACACATAAAGAATGAGGCAACATTATTCTGCTGTTAGGGAGTCACAGAAAGTTTTCCTTTCTTTTAATTTAGTTAACAATCTTGATAGTGAAGTATACGGTTTAGTCATGTGAGGACATTTCCAAATGAGTGCCAGCTTTTAACTGACCTACTTTTGCTAGTGACTTTCCCTTGTACCTTACTTTTCGTCATTGAATAATACTGATTTATTAAACTGTGTGCTTCAAGGGCATTGTAAAACTGCATGTAGGGGCAGGACTGAACTGTGAAAGTGAGAATTACTGTATCAGATCAGACCCAATTAAAATGTGACAAGCGCAGCAGGAGAAATTGGAAATAGGGTTTATCTTTCATGTAATGTAAGAAGTCCCTATATTGGTTAGAAACAAAGTAAGTGTGAAACAGATTCTCCACCCTTTCTCATCCCTCTCCAGAAATTAATATATCTATTGACATTTATATTAGAAAGAATAAGCCCCGGAGTTTTAACCTCTCATATTCAAGAATATTATGGCAATGGCATTTGGATGGAAAGTTTGGCAGCCTTACAAAGCTGTCCATTATCCAAGCACAAATCAAATTCCAAATCAAAATATTTGCAATTGAGAGATAAGTATAATCTGAAATTTTAGCTTTATATAAAAGTGTGTAATTAAAGAGAATTTTACAGTTCTGCAAGTCCTCTTGGATTTCACAGTTAGGCATTTCTGGGTCTATCCCAGAAGAGAGAGAGAGAGAGAAAAAAAAAGATGTTAATAAAATCAGATATTTTTTTCAAGCTTTGTAGTTCCCTCTCATAACAGTCTCTTTGTAAAACTGTCTTTGATCTAAGGTAGAAGAACCATGGATTGGCTTCCAACATCACTGCAATCCTTATATAACCTTTTTGTATAACATTCATTAGCTCTTCTCGTACAGAGCAGAACTGTAAATGAATGCAAATATCTGTGTATAGCCTTCCTTAATCCCTCTGGCTCATAACATGTATTGTTGATCAGCACTTGATAGGCAATAGCAGTGGAAGGTGCCATGGACAACAACACTGTGCTTTCTAAGAATGTTATCTTTAGAAACAATTGTATCTGATTGGCTGACTAAGTTATTCCCTACAATCAGTTCTACACTTGGTTCATTGGTGTTTCCTTGTTTGGTCATTTTTGCACTCACCATCAAATCTACTCTAAGATTTCAGGAAATCTGGACAGAACCCTGTTGATTTGGGGGGAAAATCAAAAAGTAAAAGGTGACCAGAGATCCTGGCATTTGGTTTCCCCACCCATCAGCTTTATACATGTCAGTGATTGTGTTCAGATGTAAAAATCATAGTTGGTTTCCATAAACAATTTCTACTCTAACAGTATCTTCCATCTCTGCTGTGTCTAGGTTAAAATGATGATACTGTCACTGACTTCTCTCCCAGACAGGAAGAAAACAATACTTACAGAAGGGGGGTGGGGAAGAGAGAGAGAGAGAGAGAGAGATTGATGGGTGCAAGGAATTGTTAGTGTGTACGCTAAGCACAGAGTAAAGGAGCAAAAGAGGATGAACTGAAGAACTATTTATGCTATCGTATAAATATATATATATACTTTGAAAATATATACACTTCTGGTTGCATTTGTTTTCTCAAACATGATTTACATTCCCTTTGTACTGAATCCCAATGGGGTATATGGATTTTTATAAAGGGGCATTTTAGCCTCATATTTCTCTTATTTGGGTGGCATTTATTGAAAGAAAGTTTAGAAATATTTCTTCTGTCCTGTGGAGCAAATGGTATTCAGCTGTCTATTCAATAAAAACTCACAACCAGATCCCAAGGTAAAACAATGGCATTTAAGAACATCATGTGGATTGAGAACAATCACCAAAATTCCTTTAAAAGTTGTTTGATGTCCTGGGCCTGATTCAGGAGTGTGTGTTTCATGAAGCTTTAAAGAGGTCTTTGGCATGGACTGGCACATTAGCTGGGCTCGTGCTCCATTTCTTTGGAGGACAATGGAAAGCTAGCTTAGGGGTGTGTGTATGTGTGTGTGAAGAGATGGGTTCATCAGTGTCCCTGCTGCTTCTCTCCCCACTATCTACTTAGTTCAGCTACAGGTAAGACTTAGTGACTTTATCACATATATACCACTAAACATGGTTTAGACTTCAAAACAGATACAAAAATGCATTCAAATCCTAATTTTATTAAGCAGCAGATGAATAGCTTTGTCTTTCAAACTGCTCTTTGTACAACAGTGCATTTGAGAGATGGGCTATAAAAAGTTAAAAATTAGGGGTTATTTTCCACTGATTAAAAGTATCTGTGTCCTGTATCTTTCCATCTCAATTCCCTTGTTAATAGCAGGAAGCCTAGACAACCTAAATTAATCAGTTTACAGAATGGACTACCTTTCATTTTTATCTTGCAGAGGCAAATGTGAAAGAAAATGCTGTGAAATACATGGACATGCTGGAGGACAAGCTTCACAGGTAATGATAGCATGGTGGAAGCCTTTAAGATTCTTAAAATTTTCTGCAGAAATGTAAATGTTGCTCTAGGGCATATTTTGGAACTTGTTCAAGAAATAGGGGAAAGCCAGACCTCAAAAAGGAGTCTTCTAAAGCAAAGGGTTTTTTTTTAATTCTTTCATTCTGCAACCCCTAAATATGCACCAAAATATTATTTTAAAACAAATCTGCAGTCTTAGAAGTCCTATAAGTGTTTGCATTCTGGGTCAGATTCATGGCTGTGGTGCAGCTGTCTTGCCACCAGTCTGCCAGTACAAAGTGCTCATACTGAGTAGGTCTAGGCAGCAGAGGAATCTTTCTATGCCACTGGAGAATTCCCTGACAAGTCCCAGTCTCTCGCACAGAAGATGTGGCAAAAGAAAAGGGGATATGGCCAAAAGAACACTGCATCTGCTTCACAAGGCTTCTAGAATGACCTTAAGGCTTCTTTAATTTATGTTGGAGACCAGTCCCTACTTCAGCAGCTCTGCATTGTGTGGAGAAAGGATAGCAAGAATAGCAAGCTTAAAATAGCAGGTACTTCCCAACCATACCTGTACAAAGCACAACTTAGCTCTGGTATAGAAACTGTTCCCCTGAATTTTGGACACTCTCCAAGTAATTAAAGACCCACTTATATTTGAGTAGTTCTGAAAAATGTAATGAGTTATTCCTTTGCTTTCTGTCCCAGAAACAAATAGAAATCAAGACAACCCTATAACTGTTAAGTATTTAATTCCTCCCCAGAAAACATTATGGACAACTTCAAGGATTAATAGTTAATCCTCTTGCCATGTAACCAGCTCTGGTACCTGTTGGATTGCCTCTCCAAGGCTTATCACTTGGTGTTGTGTTGCTTTGTAATGGAAGCATGTTAAAATAGACTGTGTTTTACAGAGGTACTTACATTTTTTTAAAGGTCTTTAAAAGCTAGAGTCTGGACTCCTGGTTTGTGTAAAGAGCATCTCCTTCTGTACTGCTAAACAGGTATTGACAATGGCCTTCTCTCGCTAGTGTTTACTGCAATTAGAGGGAGGATTTCAGATGTTTTGGGCTTGCTTAAAATTGCTTTTTTAATTAACATCTTATATTTACTGTGTCATAGCTAATAAATAAGTCAAAATCATAGTGCAAAAGTGCTTCTTACTTTTTCATTGGGATTATACATTCTGAAAAATATATGGTGTAGCAGCCTATATACTTGGTTTTGTGGCTTTATATTGAAACAGCTAACCGTCCCTTCCCCCTATAACTGAGGTCACGTCCTCTTAAACAGATAAACACACAAGGAAATTCTGTATAGTAATATCATTTGAGTGTTTTTCATAGGGGTCATTAAGAAAATGGACAGCCTTCTGCTAGCTTTGCAATGGGCTTTTCAAACAAAGCATGATAAGGTGACCCAAATTAAAATCTGCAACTTTCTTTTTTAAATTAATATTTTAATCCAAGAAACAATGTGGTGTTTATATATATTATCCACTGTTAGTAATCTGTAAAATTGTGCGTGGCTCCCACCTATCCTCTCACCCATATGTCTTAGAGTGTGTTGGATTTAGAGATACTATCATGCAATGATCATCCTATTTCTATGCAATGTCAGAGGATTGAAAGCTAAACTGTCCTATGGTTCTGTAATCTATTTTGGAAACCAACACTGATCAGCAATGGCTGAACATTTCAAATTCTCCCAGATTTAAGCAACATAGTAGGTTGTATTTCAACATGTTGAAACTTTACTTAGAGATAGCATTGTTAGTGCCATATTTAAATTAATATGTCTTTTGAAACTCCACTGTAATTAATTATTTTTCAGGATTGCCGATCTTTTCAGGTTTTAGTGAGAACTTAAATACTTGTATGTGAAGTTCTACATTACTGTGGTCATATTAATATGTTAATATTGTACCTTTGACCTTTCCACTAGGGATGCAAAATGTTAAAGGATTAATTGTTTAACCAATAAGTGCAGTGATAACCAGTTAGCTTACCAATTATCCTTTGGCTTGGGATGGGCACAGTTTAGCAGGGAAGGAGGGAAGGGAAGCTGCATGGTGCATTAGTAGGAATCAGAAGGCAGCAGGGCAGGTTGGGGAGGGGAAGGAGGGAGGGGGTAGGGAGACTAGTACTCATAGTGTAGGGGTGGGCAAAATATGGCCTGAAGGCTAGATCCGGTCTATGAGGCCATTCTGTCTGGCCCATGAGGCCCCTAAAAATATAGAAAATTAATATTTCACTCTTTGGTGAGCTCAAGCACAAAAAGGAAGCTTACAAGAAGTGGAAGCTGGGACAGAGGACTAGGGAGGAGTATAAGAGTACTAGCTGAAACCCACAAAACATTTGTGATTAATTTTTTTATTGAAAAAGTATTTCTTTAAATACAGGATTTTTAGTTATCCTTTGGCCAAATACTTTAACTGAATACTTTAATGGAATCAAAACTTCACACCGTTGAAAAGGCTGCATGTGTAAACACAGGCTTAGGAATATAAATACATTAGGAATATAAATACATATTTTGTCAAAAATCTGACCCTGTGACTTGTTCATAGTCATAGAATAAGAGGGCCCTTGTACATGTGACATGGGGTGCTGGAAAGCCAGGCATGCTCAGGGAAGCTTGGGCTTGACGGGCTTCCAGTGCTCCATGCACCATCCCCACCACCTTCTCCGGCTGCCAGCACACTCAGCCGCCCTTCTGTCACCTTCTTGAGGCAGCCACCCCATTCCCAGGCAGTCCTAGCTGGCGGGAAGGTGGTGGGGAGGGTGTATGGAGCTCTGAAAGCCCACCAAGCCTGAACTTCCCCAAGCACGCCCAGGTTTCCAGTGCCCCATGCACCGTTGGATGCAGTGGGTGCTGCCTGCGAGCTGGGGCTGCACCTACACAGATAACACCCTGCCTGGGTGGCCCAGGGGGGCACCGCCACCATGGAGGGAAGCACTGCCCCAGCATCCCCCCCTACAGCTCAGGGGCTGCACAACTCAGTGGTAGCTTCCATGGAAAGGCTTCACCAGGTGGGGGGAAGAACGACAAGGGGCCTGATCTTTTTTTTTTTAATTTTCTCCCAGAGCCTACCTGCATCTCCCACAGTCGGGGAATGAGCTGCCGGTGGGTTGCGCAGTCCCTGAGCTGTGGGGGACCCTGGTGCTTCCCTCTGCAGTGGTGGCACCCCCTGGGCAGCACCCACCCACCCAATGGTACCCTGCCCGGGTGGTCCCAGGGGTGCCACCACTGTGGAGGGAAGCACTGGTGCCCTCCATAGCTCAAGGCCTGCCAGGAGCTTGGCCCCCGGCTGCTTATTCTGTCTGTCCAGAGCACTCTGGTTGTTTCAGTAAGCATTGTGATTGGCTGCCGAGACAACCAATTGGAGTGCTCTTGACACACAGAATAAGCCTATTATTATTATTATTATTATTATTATTATTATTATTATTACTACAGTAAAAGCTCTGTTATCCGGCATCCCCCAGGAATGACAGATGCCGGTTAATCAAATATTCCAGTTAATCAAATGTGCACTGTTTGGTGCACTCCCTGGCATCAGTGTGCCAGGGGACAGGGAGGGGGGCCCCACGCAGGCTGCTTTTTCCTGCACAGGCTGCTTTGCCCTGAGCTGTGGGCCAAAAAAGTGGCGAAGAAAAACTTAGCTTGCGGTTACAAAACAGGAAGTCCTCTGGAAGCGGTACTTCCAGCTTTGCTTTTGTCGCGCTGCTCAGATGCCGGTTAATAGAGTTTTCCAGCTAATAAAATGCCGGTTAACACAGCTTTTACTGTATTATATATTGCTTGGGCATGCAGGGGTGAAATCAGGAAGGCCAAAGTGCAATTGGAGTTGCAGCTAGCAAGAGACATGAAGGGATTCTACAAGTCTGTTAGCAGCAAGAGGAGGGTCAGGGAAAATGTGGGTACCTTACTGAATGGGGGAGGCAACCTAATGACATGATGTAGAAAAGGCTGAAGTACTCGATGCCTTTTATACTTTGGTCTTCACAGGCAAGGTCAGCTCCCAGACTACTGCATTGGGCAGCATAGTTTGGGGAGAAGGTGAGCAGCCTTTCATGGTGAAAGAATAGGTTAGGGACTATTTAGAAAAGTTAGACGTCTGCAAGTTCTTGGGGCTGGATGGAATGCAGCCCAGGGTGCGGTGGGAATTACTGGTATGATTGCACAGCCACTGGACATAATCTTTGAAAATACATAGGAATTGGGGGTGGTCCTGGATGATTGGAAAAGGGCAAATATACTGCCCATCTTTAAGGAAGGGAAGGATCTAGACCAGACCAGTCAACCTCACTTCAGTCCCCAGAAAAATCATGGAGCAGGTCCTCAAGGAATTCATTTCTAAGCACTTGGAGGAGAAGGTGATCAGGAACAGCCAGCATAGATTCACCAAGGACAAGTCATGCTTGACTAGCCTGATTGCCTTCTGTGATGAGATGACTAGCTCCGTGGATCTAGGGAAAGCAATGGATGTGATATACCTTGACTTTAGCAAGGCTTTTAATATGGTGTCCCACAGCATTCTTGCAAGCAAGCTAAGGAAGTAGGGTTTGGATGAAAGCTGGCTGGATCATCGGACTCAATGGGTAGTGATCAATGGCTCAGTATCTAGTTGGCAGCCAGTCTCAACTGGACTGTCCCAGGGGTCAGTCTTGGGCCCGGTTTTGTTCAATATCTTCATTAACAATCTGGAAGATGGGATGGAGTGCACCCTCAGCTTGTTTGCAGATTATACCAAGCTGCGGGGAGTAACAGATATGCTGGACGGTAGGGCTAGGATTTAGAATGACCTAGACAAATTGGAGGATTGGGATAAAAGAAATCTCATGAGACTGAACAAGGACAAGTGAAAGTCCTGCACTTAGGATGGAAGAATCCCATGCACTGCTACAGCCTGGGGACTATCTGGCTAAATAAGAGCTCTGCAGAAAAGGAACTGGGGGTTACAGTGGACAATAAGATGGTTACAAGTCAACAGTGT